TCCTTAACATCATCAGGTCCTTTCATGAGAAAATGAAGGGCACTGTAATTTTTGATGGTTCAACATTAGATCCCTTTGACATCCGAAGCAGAGTGAAACAGGGCTATGTCTTCACACCAACCCTGTTTGGGAACTTTTTTGCTGTCTTGCTGAAGTACGCTTTTGGAACAGCAAAAGGAAGTGTCTTATATCCGGACTAGATCAGATGGAAAACTCTTTGATCTCTCTAGATTGAGAGTGAAGACCAAAGTCCAGCTGAAATGCATGTGGGACTTCCTCTTGGCCGATGATGCAGTTGTTGTTGTCCATTCTGCCAAAGACATCCAATAACTTATGAATAGTTTTAGCAAGGCCTGTCAAGATTTTGGATTAACAATCAGCCTGAAGAAAACACAAGTCATGCGCCAGGATGTGGACTCACCTCCCTCTATTACAATCTCTTCACAAGAATTGGAGGTTGTTCATGATTTCATGTACCTTGGCTCAATGATCACTGACACTCTCTATCTAGATGTCAAACTGGATAAACGCATTGGCAAAGCAGCTACCATGTTCTCTAGGCTCACAAAGAGAGTTTGACTTAACAATAAGCTGACTGCATATACCAAGATCCAGGTCCATAGAGTTTGTGTCCTGAGTACACTCCTGTACTGCAGTGAGTCCTGGACGCTTTGTGCACGGCAGGAGAGGAAACTGACCATGTTCCATATGTGTTGTCTCCGATACATTTTTGGCATCACCTGGCAGAACAAAGTTCCAAATAGTGCAGTCCTGGAACGAGCTGGAATTGTCAGCATGTATACATTACTGAAACAGCAACGTCTATGTTGGCTTGGGCATGTCATGAGAATGGCTGACAGATTCCAAAAGATCTCCTGTATAGAGAATTAGTGCAGGTAAATCGCCCCAGAGGGTGACCACAGCTGTGATACAAGACATCTGCAAACGGGATCTGAAGGCCTTAGGAATGGACCTCAACAAATGGGAAACCCTGACATCTGAGCGTTCAGCCTGGAGGCAGGCGGTGCATCACGGCCTCTCCCAATTTGAATAGACACTTGTCCAGCAGGCTGAGGCAAAGAGGCAGCCCCCAAACCAGCAAAATCAGGGAGCTGGACAGGGGACAGACTGTATTTGTCTTCAGTGTTGAAGGGATTGTCACTCTCGAATTGGCCTTCTCAGCTACACTACACACTGTTCCAAGACCTCTAGTCAGAGGACATTACCATAGTCTCTTGAGACTGAAGGATGTCTACTGTCTGTGACTCCCAACCACTAGTCACTCTGGGTCCTAGTTCTTGTATAAAGGTGGGATTTTTAAAAAATTCAATACATAAATAGCTATCTGACTAATTTTTGTTCCTCTTCTTAACTGGTTCCCCTGCTCCTGTAGATTATCGTATTTTTTGCTCCATAAGACACACCTCTCCATAAGATGCACCAAATTTTTAGGAGAAGAAAACAGGGAAAAATTAATCTGTTTTTTTCTCCTAAAAATTTGGTGAGCCTTATGGAGAGGTCTGTCTTATGAAACACACCCTAGCCCCCTCTGGCCCTGTGGAGGGAGCCTCCAAAGGGTCCTAGGGTGTGTTCCAGGACCCTTTGGAGGCTCACCCTGCCCCCCTTGGGGGCCAGAGGGGGCGAAATCGCCACCTTCAGGGACTCTTCTGAAGCTTCCAAAGCCTCAAAAGTGTCCCAGAAAGTGGCGATTTCACCAGCGCTGGCCCCGTGGGGGTGGGGTGGGGTAGTGTTGCAAAGGTCCTGGAAGGCAGACTCGGACCCTTGCGAGGTTTCCCCAACTCCCCTGCGGGGCCAGAGGGAGCAAAATCGTCACCTTCAGGGACTCTTCTGAGGTTTCCCAAGCCTCAAAAGTGTCCCAGAAAGTGGCGATTTCGCCCCCGCTGGGCCCATGGGGGGGGTGGGGGAAGCCTCCCAAGGGTCCTAGAATGCAGACTCGGACCCTTGGGAGGCTCCCCCCATGGGGCCAGAGGGAGCAAAATCGGCACCTTCAGGGACTCTTCTGAGGCTTCCCAAGCCTCAAAAGAGTCCCAGAAGGTGGTGATTTTGCCTGCCCTGGCCCCGTGGGGGGTGGGCCGAGCGTCATAAGGGTCCTGGA